AACTGCCATGTCATTGGTTGATTAGATAATTGCATTAATGAGAAATTGAACAGGTGTTCCTAATAATCCTTTAGGTGAGTGTATATAGCCTACTGAGTAGCATCGTGTCTGGGCTGGGAGTGGAGTTTCCAGCCTCACAGTATAGATCCTCCTGGTAGAGATCTGCAGCCTTATCTCATACACACGTACCCTGCCGCAGATGCTCTCATACACACGTACTCCGTAACAGACGCTCTCATACACACGTACCCCGTAACAGACGCTCTCAAACACCCGTACCCTGTCGCAGACACTCTCATACATGCGTAATCTGCCAAAGACGCTCTCAAACATGTGTAACCTGCGACAGATGCTCTCAAACACGCGTAACCTGCGGCAGACGCTGTCATACATGCGTACCCCGTCGCAGACGCTTTCATACCGACGTACCCCGCCGCAGATGCTCTCACACACATACCCAGTCGCAGACGCTCGCAGACGCGACGTAATCTGTCGCACACTCTCAAACACACATCGCATATGTCACACACTCATATATCACACTCACCATTTTCCTACCAGCTACACAGCCTCCATAAAGCTGTCCATTGTTTATTGTAGTTTAGTGTTGTTTTGTGCAAATAAATGTCTTTATAAAATCAATTGTTGTCTTATGGTCATTCAGACAGCGTACTATCCAAAGAACTCCCAAAGCCTTAAGATTTTGGTAGTTGTGGGATTTGGTGTAACATGAGACTGAATAAATTACCAAATTATCACCAAGCACCTAGAGTGAGAAACTGTAAGACAGACTTACTCAATTACATGAGATTAGTGGTGTGGAAGGTGAATTATTTTATTAGCCTAAGAGTGGATTTTTCCGTATGCGTGTGGTGTGGAACAGATTCAGCTCAGCTAAACTCTCCTCATAAGACAATCCTCTGTGACCAGGAAGCACTCTTATAGCCCTACGTTGGGCCCTTTCCAAGGCAGCAATGTCCTTCTTAAGGTATGGTGACCAAACCTGCACACAATGTTTGTATTACGACGAACTCACAAATGGCCACGTAATTGGCCACGTCGCCAATAATTGTGGCACATGTGTTTTTGTTGAAAATAATTATTTCTTGATGAAGGATTTGTTTTTCTTTGAATAAATCCATTTCAATGAAAGGTTGGATTTTTCTCATTTTTTCAGTGTGACATGAAGCTGCTTCGCCAAAAGGTGAATTTTTTTGTAACCAGTTTTACAAATCTTTACAAGGGGTGCCAATAATTGTGGAGGGCGCTGTATGTTGGTTATTTGTACTAAATAGTGGTGAGTTAATCATGTCCTCTACTGTGAACATATGTAAAATAATCATTAAACTCATTTACTATGTCAATTTCATTTTCAATTATAAGGCCCTTACTATCCTGCAGATTAGTGATTTCAGCTTTTAGAGCTCTCTTGGAGTTCAAATATTGGAAGAAACCTTTAATGTCATCCTTAGCCTCCAATGCAATCTACCTTTCGACATTCCACTTAGTGAGTCTAATGTTATTTTTTAACTCAGCTTGTAGACTTACTTTGAAATCATTATTTATATTCCTCCTTAATATCTCCAGCGTACAGTGTGAAATACCCAGTAATACTTACCTCACTACCCCTAGTTTACAGTGTGGAATACCCAGTAAGACTGACCTCAGTATCTCCAGTTTATAGTGTGGAATACCCAGTAAGACTGACCTCAGTATCTCCAGTTTACAGTGTGGAATACCCAGTAAGACTGACCTCAGTATCTCCAGCTTACAGTGTAAGTCCCGTAGTCCAGCAGAGAGCAGCTTCACTCCGGAATCCTGCAGGTCATTGTCACTCAGGTCCAGCTCTCTCAGGGGTGAGGAGTTTGATCTGAGAGCTGAAGCCAGCACCTCACAGCATTTCTCTGTGAGTTCACACCGGCTCACCCTTAAAAAAATGAAACACTTTTTTACACTGCAGCACTGTATTCAAATGAGGAGAATAGGAGCCATGACATAATGGATTTTCAGAAAACAAATGACTAAAAATCATTTTAACAATCATCCCAATTCTGTTGGTGTCCATTATATTTTTGTCCATAACACATTAAAGTCAGCATGTTTAATTGTAACAGTACCGTTAACTTTGTTAACCAACACAAATGTTTTGCATGGATTATATGGTTCAATGTGTGCTTCACTGCTTAATTATTTCTTGCATGGATTGACGGCTGATAAGATTGTGGGATATAAGGAAGTGGGAGAAGAAAACAGAAGCTGTTTGTGTGTGTTTATTATGTAACTGCTGAAATGCATTGTGGGTTTTCTTGGTGTCCAGTTCCTTTTTTGTAAAATGTATATTCTGTACTCACTGCAGCTTCTCCAGTTTACAGCTGGGATCCTCCAGTACAGCAGAGAGCAGCTTCACTCCTGAGTCTCCTGGGTGATTGTAGCTCAGATCCAGCTCTCTCATGTGTGAGGGGTTTGACCTCAGAGCTGAAGCCAGGGAGGAACAGCCTTCTTCTGTGACTCTACAACCTGACAGCCTGCAGAGAGAGAGACAGAAACTCTCCAATAAACAATATCACCTCACTATTACAGGGATTAAATAAATGTGACTGCTCTAATAAATATTTCAAGAATTACAGTTTAGTGTCTAAGAGAAGGCAGGCCCCCTCCTCACTTTCCCTTAGCTAATTACTTAGCTATCTCCTCTGTATAGTGTGGAATATCCAGTAATACTGACCTCATTATCTCCAGTTTACAGTGTGGAATACCCAGTAATAATAATAATCATTACTTTATTTATCAGTTTACACGTTATTATTATTATTATTATTATTATTATTATTATTATTATTATACTGATGTCAGAATCCTCAGTTTACAGTGTGGAAAACCCAGTACTACTGACGTCAGAATCCCCAGTTTGCAGTGTGAATCCCCCAGTGCAGCAGAGAGCAACTTCACTCCTGAATCCTGCAGGTCATTGTCACTCAGGTCAAACTTTCTCAGGGGGGAAGAGTTTGATCTTAGAGCTGAAGTCAACACTTCACAATGTTTATCTCTGAGATCACAGCTGTTCAGCCTGAAACAGAAAACACTGTAAGACACAGACATATACACATCCTACTAGAGGTCGACCGATATATCGGCCGGCCGATATATCGGGCCGATATTTAGCATTTTTTAATGTATCGGCATCGGCCGATATCCGAGTGCACTACGCCGATTTTCAGACAGGCACGTCTGCGGGCAGCCCAGTGTTATTGTTGCTGTGGAACACGTGACCCATGCTGCCTTGTGCAGGACCACAGCCAGAAGTTTTGGAAGAGTCCTGGGATAAAA